AGCCACACAACAGCCCCGTGGGGGTGCTCAATTGGCAAGAGACAATTACAAAAGAGAAGGCATTGAAGAGGTTTGGAGAGAAAAAAAGGAAAAAGGAAGAACGTAAGAAAAAAATCTAAATTTTCTAGATGCAAAACTACAGTAAAAAAAATAATAAAATAAAAATAAAACGTATTTTTTTTTATCATAATTATTTTTACGCAGCAATGTCTCTGACCTCGAATTAGTCTCGGCTAGATGATAGTAAATATTTACTACGGCTAATATTATTAATGCAATGGTGTATTGGCAAGCTCATTTGTCGCCCAGATCGCCACTTCTTAGAGCCCCCGCAAGACCCAGGGAGCTCCAGTGGCTGATTAAGACGCCAGGGATGGCTTTGTAAACATGTGGGCAACCAAGCATATCGTCCCTGGAAGGATCCTATAGACAAGCAGGCAGGGACAGCACTAATCTCACTTATAACAAAATGCTTAATCCAGTCCGAACACGTTACATACAGTTTGGCAGCGCGGTGTAAGCATTACAATCTGCTCAACCTAAAACAAACAACACACCGGAAGCCGTGTGTGAAACCTTCACAAACTGTCACAAAAATGTTCAGAAGCTGTGTAGCCCACTTCTGTCTGGTCATTGGAAATGTCTCTGATCAAAGTATAAGATCTTTTAAAATTGTATTTTGAAACTTATAAAAGGGTTTGGCCTAGCAGCCACAAGGGGCAGCCATAAACAAAAAAGATGCAAGCTGTTGTTTATTTCCTGAATATAAACAGAATCCCCCCTAACAAAAAAAATCTACACTATACAGACCAAGGAATATTTATATGACAATCCTTTATATCAGAGTGTAAAAACTCGGGGCAATAAATAATAAATAATTCTACTATTGTATATGTAATGTTTGCACAAATAAAATGTAAACCTATTAGTAACAAATATATAGAAAATAATTAACTAATAATAAAAAAAAATCACACGTTGCATGCAAGTGCTGTTTTCCACTGGTCTGTGTGTTTATGCAGATGATTGCACAATCCATATTTATTAGGAAATAAAGGGGGGAAACGTTGTAAATGTACTCAACGTCTAAACTGTGTTTTTCTATTTTTTTTTTTTTAGAGAGAGGGGAGAGCAATTACACAATTAAAATGCCTTTCAGTAACTTTAATTAGGCGGTTCATGGGGGATGAGTGTTGGGAAAGGTGCTGGTAGGCTAATGTTCAGATAAATGGAATTCATTTGATTTTTAAATGTATTTCTTTTTAAAGTAAGTTTCTATAGGAAGCTGCAGAGAGCTAAACAACGTTCAGCTACATAATTACAGATACACAACGATCATAGGCTGAGTACAGCTACACAGGAGTACACAACACAACAACTGTGAGTACAGCTACACAACAATTATTTTAGCTGTATAGCTACACAACTGCGAATACAGCTACACAGCTATCACAGAGATGGTACATTTGGTTCCCAGGACCTATGCAGGGGGATGGCAACCAGGCAGGGTACCCTAGCTTGTGGGTTATTTTTTTTTCCCAGAGCCCTGGGCATGCTTACTACAGTACCATGTTTCGGCAAAGCATTACAAATAAAAACCAGTCCATCGCTTTTATCCCAGTCCTGAGCTTCTAACACAACCCAAACGTTTCCACTTGCCCAGCAATGCACGCTTCAACGCAGCTCAACAATTTATAAGCCCACATGTGTGATCTTGGATCGTGCCCTGCAGTGTGAGCAAGGACACTGCTCATAAGAATGACCAGAGCTTGTGCCCAGAAATCATCAGGAACTGTACCCACAATTAATCGGGGTACTGTGCCCACAAGTGATCAGGGACTGTGTCCACAAGAGACCAAGGACCATACCCACAAATGATCAAGGATTATACCCTCAAGTGATCAAGGACTCAACCGATAAGTGATCAATAACTGTATTCACAAGTGATCAAGGACTGCAACCAAGAGTGTAATAAGGAACTGTGCCCATAAGTGATCAGGGACCGTGCCCCTAAGTGATCAAGAACCGTACACAAGTGTAATAGGAAACTGTGCCCACAAGTGATCAGGGACCGTGCCCCTAAGTTATCAAGAAGTGTAATAGGGAACTGTGCCCACAAGTGCTCAGGGACTGTGCCCACAAGAGATCGAGGAGTGCGTACTCACAAGTGTAAAAAGGAACTGTGCTCACAAGTGACCAGAAACGGTGCCCACAAGAGATCAAGGACTGTGCCCACAAGTGTAGAAAAGGGGCACTGTGCTCACAAGTGATCCTGAACTGCACCCACAAATGGATCAAGAACTGTCCCTACAAGTGATCCAGGACTGTACCCACAACTGTGACCAAGAAATAAGCTCTCACTCACCTTTCAGAGGCATCCCAGGCTGACACACTCCCCTGGATAAATTAGGGTGAAGCTGAGCAAAAGATGAGCCTTGCTGTCCTTGTGTACTGACCAGGAAATAAAAGCTGTGTTCCCAGGCACCGAGGCTCGATGTTTGCTTGCCTTCTGAAGAGGAGACAGAGATTGACAGTAAGCGAGGCTGTCAGTGGGTGCAGGAGAGAGAGAGAGAGGCAGTCAGTGTGTGAGTGCAGTGCCAGCCACAGAGCACACCTATGCTGATTGGTGATGGTTCAAGTGTATTAATGTATGTGTACTCGCTTCTTGTGCCTCGCCTCCACTGTTCTTCACTGGCCCATTAGCAAAGGCTGACCTCTGTCATCATCTCCCAGTAAAACACTTCCTCCTGCTTCTCCACCAGAGCGGGAAATGAGCTTGTTCTTGGGCTTGCTTTCAAACCCACTAATCACTCCAGACATGCAAATGCAAAGCTTTCTCCACACACAAAAATATTGCTTTATGCAAAGCACTGGGGTAGCCTTGCCATTGCCTATTGGCTGCTCACCCCCCAGCGACTGGCTCCATTGGCTCCAGCCTTTGAATATGAATACAGCTGATTTTTTTTTTCTCTCTTCCACTGCTTACATTTTTTTGTTATCTGTGTATTCCCCA